AATTTAAGCTTAATCAAGTCTTTATTTGAATCTTTATGTAGACTCTGATATAAGAATTAAAAAATAATTTCACGCTGCTCAAAAGGTGAAATCAAATAAAAGATGGATTCTAAACACCCTACTCCAAATTACCAAGTGTGTGGAGGGTCGAATAATCCCTTCAGCTGATTTTCTAACCTTTTAGTTAGTTAGTTAGTCATGTGCCTATGTGACTATAAATTTCTTGAGAATAAGGTCTCAGAAATCTAGAAGGTAACCTTAACCAGAGAAAATTATGTAGGATGCATTAATGCATTTGCTCACTAGGAGCAACAATGCTGCTCTTTGTGAATCACAGCCAAAAACTGTCCAATTCAAGACAGTGAACTTATTATTATGTGTAAATCCAAAGCACTAGGTAGATGTCAAAGATGACAACAGGGTCCCTCCTCCAAGTAACTCACGATCTAATTCATTGCCACAAACTTCACTGACATAATAAATAACCTCTATTACTAAGAACATCAGAATATAAAACATAACATTATCTATGGAAAGAAACAGAGAAGGCTAGAAGAAAATACAGCAAAATGTAAGCAGGAATAGCTTGGCAGTAGGATTATATACCCACTTCCCCCACTGTCTTGTGCTTTACTTCCTATATTTTCTACAGTGAGGAAAAAGAGTTAAATAGTTAAAGAAACAAAGCAAAGCTAAAAAAAATATTCTGAAATAACCTCAGGGTACACTATAAAGCTATTAACTCTTTGATTCAGTGTCACAAAGAAAGTGCCTGGTTTATGGGTTTTTTAAGTTCTATGATCATGTAATGTTAAGCACTTACTACATATGCCACTGTTCTAAGTACTTTTACGTACCACCCCATTTAATCCTCACAACCCCATGTATAGGTACTATAATTATCCCTACTTTATGCATTGAGGAAACTGAGACCTGGGAAAGTTATATAACCTGGCTATGATCACCCATCTAGTAAGAACTAGAGCTGAGATTTAAACCTGGCTAGCCTGGCTGCAGAATATTGACTTTTAACCACCAAACTATATGCTCTATCATCTTATTGAAGGGAGAGAGTCAAGTTTGATATTTATAGAGTACTGGCTCCAGTAGAATTACAATTTGTGAATTCAATTATTTATGTAGTTAATTAACTATGCCACTGTAAGCTGGCAACTAAAATAGTATCACACAGTATATTAGAAACACATGCGATCTAAGAATCCAAGTATATGTATCTTACCCGTGCTTTTAAAGAACAAATTTTACCCTTGGAAATACTGCCACCATCACCAACCACTCTGAAAGATAAAAAATAATTTAAAAAATCACAAGATCTTTCAGGGCTATTAGTGCTATCAGGTATAAAGTTAATTTCCATTTACAGTGGTGCCTTGGTTTTCCAATGTAATCCGTTCTGGACCGTTCAAGTTCTGAAACGTTCAAAAACCGAGGGATCAACAGCCGACAGTTGGGCCTCAGAATCTTGCCCTCAGCGGAAGCCATGTGGGATGTCTGACTTCTGAGGCATGTTCAAAAACCTAAGCATTTCCTTCCGGGTTTAGGGCATTCGTAAACCAAAATGTTCACCAACGGAGATGTTTGAAAACCGAGTACCACTGTATATAATAATGCTACTTATAGGCCAGGTGAGACAGACACAAAAGATAACAAAGGAGCAACCATTCCTAATCTTCTCCCTTGTTTATCTTCCATTAGGCTAAAGAAGTGAGGTACTTATTTCCCTGGTTTTCTTTGTAGTTGGTGCTGGCCAGGTAATCCAGATGCAGTTGGTGCCAATTCTTCTGTTTTCCTACTTTGAACGTGAATATGGATGTGACGCCTAGATTGGAGGCTGCCATTTCATAGTTATGAAGTAATAAACATGAAGTAAAAAAGTTAACACACTGAGGATAATGAAATGATAGACAGGATCTCTTGGTCTTTAAGGCACTTCTCCAAACCTAGAACATCCAATTTCCTGATTTATCTGTATTTGAGATAACTGGATACCTTTATTGCTTAAGCTGTCATTAATGAGGTTTCCTGTTATAGCTAAACCCGTATCAACTAAGGTACTAGTTATATACCACTATCTAAGAGTGTTCCTAGAATTTCATGTTGAACATAGTTACCAAAGTAAATAACCTAGGACCAAAACATAGTGTATGTGTTAATACTGTTTACAAGGCAAAATATATGAAGGGAAGCAGAATTGAGCAGAAAATGCTGTAGGTCAGGGGCTAGTAAACTACAGTCCTCTAACAGCTGCTTGTTCTCTTAAAGTTTTATTGGAACACAGCCACACAATTTTGTTTATGTACTACCTGCATTCATGCTATAATGCCAGAGTTGAGTAGATGTGACAAAGACCTCATGGTTTGCAAAACCTAAAATATTTACCATCTGATCCTTTACAGGAAAGGTTTGCCAATCCCTGGCATAGGTAAATTCCTATCACCCTGTTAAAAAGGTATGATCATTTCCTCAAACAGATGAAGAAGTGTACATGAAGAAGTGGTCTTGTTTTCAAAAGATTTTTTTGTACTAACTTATGAAACAGATGCTACATGTGTTGATAGTACATGGAAAGAGCAATATATGCCAAGCCCATTCTCCCCTTCTTCTCAAACTTGACACTGGGGAAATAGTAATGTTTGCAGGTTAAATTATAAAACAGAGTAGATGACAGTATAGTTATGTGAAGTCACCTTAATAAGAGGGAATAGCTCCCAGGCTGAGTCTCAACTATGTAATACTCAGTGAAAGGACTAGCATCAAGAATAGTGGGGATGGGAGTAGGAATTTAGTTAGAAGCACCTAAAAGGAAGTATTACAAAAACAAATTTGAGTCTCTTAATAGTATTTAGGGGAGAGGGTGTTCTAGTTTCACAAACAAGAGGGAATATAGTCTATATGACAGATATCTCCATATAATGAAGATAAATGACACCAGCCATTAGGGCAATACACTGAATTTTCTTGGTCTGATTCCATGGTCACCAAGCGACCCTCTATTAATTAGCTTTTTAGGTAGATTTCCTACAGAAGAGAATGTGCTTTTGAAGAAAAATGAGTAGAATCTAGACTTCCTGAGTTATAGTTTCTGCTGTCAATTAACAAATTGACTTCTGCTTTTAGTTTGGTATATCTGCCTGTACTAGACAGCACTGGGCCCATTCTCAGGGTGTCAACAAGGTTTCTGAGTTTATAAGCCTAAGGGTCAGACTCTGGAATTCACCAAGAAGTGAGGACTAATTAGCCTTGCCCAGGAGATAGCTGCTTCAAATACCCAACCAATTCAAATAGAACTGGAATTTTTATAGAATTAGATTAAAATTGGATATTAAGTGTGTTATTTTTGAGTTCAAGTCCACCACAGTTTAGCTTTAAGTGTTTTGAAAATGCATGAACTTAACAGTTTAACTTTCAAAAGCTTATAAACTTTGAATGCCAAATTACTCTTTCACATAAAATATTATCTGATTATGTATAAAAGGTAATCTGACAACTGCTTTTCTCCCTTTCAGCGCATTCTATTCATAGAGCAACTATTCCTGACCACAAATAATATAACAGAAATATAAACAATATATTTTTCTTTCCAAAGTTCGCCATCACTGGATGCATTAACAACATATCCTACGAGCAATTTTCAGCATTCCTTTAAGTGAAACTTTATTTACAGGTCAAGTTAAAAGAAGGCACACTAAAGGTTCTTTTTGCTGCTTAATAAAGCCTTCAAAGAAAACTTATCCTACTCTGAAGCACAACATGAGAATAGTAATGATATGAGAGTAATGAGAAATATGCTTTTAATGAGAAAAACAAACAAAAAAGCCAAACATCTTCTTTACAGTTATTAACTGTTTTTATTGTCCTTTGAAGAATTCTCTTCCAACCTGTTGACATGAAAAGTAATCATTAGGCTATGTGACAGCCTTTAATCTCATCTTACCTCGTATCCACATTTCTAAAGAAGCTGCTTATCGCCTCATCATAAATTCCTTTCTAAAAAGAAAGCAAATGTTTACAACATTTAAGTTCAGCCTCTTTCCCAAATGAAGTCCATTCAACTTAATAATCCCGCAATCCTGAAATAGCTGGTATGTGGCTATGCTAAGAAAAAGCAAATCCTCATAAAGTGCTTAGACTGAGTCTTCCAATCCAGAGCAGAGTAAATGCCCTGCGACCTACGAATTAAGTTCAGGGAAGGGTGCAGAAGGCCCCACTGGACTGGAGAATCAAAGGAGAGCTTTCTCTGAATTTTTGGTGATCATTTTAAAAGCTGACCACTTAAATCAAGGAATACCACGCGTTTCATATTTTACAAAGTACTTTCACATATACTATCTCATTGGTCTTTACAAGAATCCTGATAAAGAGGAGACCCTGAGAATTAGAGGAAACTTAAGACCAAGGTCTCTGGCCAGTTCCGTTTAGTCTACTACGTGTCTAACGCCAACAGACGTTTAAAAACCAGTTTGTTCTCTACTAATAAGATCCCACACAACGTATACCGGCCAGATAGAAGCTCAGTAGAGGAACTCCTGCCGTCCGTCGGGAGAGCCTGGGTGACAGCGGGGGCCCGGGGGCGGGGCGGGTACCTGGTTGACCGCGGCGTGCTCCCTCAGCGCCAAGTCCCAGAAGCAGCAGCCCACCTGGTTCCCGCACTGGCCGACTGCGACGAGGCAAAGAAAGGGAGGACACCGGACATTAGACGGCTGACACGGCCCCCGGGCTCCCGGCCGCCGGGCCTTCCCCTCCCGGCGCAGCTTACCCTGTACCACCACCGACTGGGTCATGCTGCAGCGCAGCCCGCGCCGGGCCCTCGGGAGCCCGCGCGGACTTTCGTATTTCCCCGCCCACCAACGGCGCTCTCCAAGGGGCGGGGCGGCCGTCAGTCAGCTGCCGCCGTAAGTCACGCTGCTGCCGCAAGTCGCTGCCGTCGCTACTCTCTTCCGGTTCCGGCTGAGATTTTCCGTCAGGAGACCGCCTAGTGCGCCTGCCTTACACTGTTACCATAGCGACTGCGCCTCCGGACGGCCGATCCTGCTGCCTGGTCGACATCCTTTAGCGTCGGCAGCGCCCGAGCCCAGGGTAACCGGCGGGTGACTAGGCTTTGGAGTGGGGTTTTCAGCCGTGTGCCCTTAAACTGCCCGTGGTCGCTCCTTAGAGTGTTGGTCTTTGTTCACAGCCTCAACACCAGGGTGGGGGGTCAGATTCCGTTTATTCAGGGTCCCCGGGACGCTGCGTTAGTATCTCTCCGTCCAGCAAGCCCTTTGTTCTGATACAAAACGGGGAATGGCGGTGAGCCCACCGCATCCTCAGACCGAGCGGGTGGCGAGATGACGCCGCGACGAGGTGGTTATGCGCTTTGACAACATGGCGCTTAGACCCGACCAGTGTTGGCGGGAGCCGCGGGCTCCAGCCGGCGCTCCCGGGCCCTCGGCGGTACGCGGGGGATTCTGACGCGGACCCCGCGCCGAGACCCTGACGGTCCCGGTGAAGAGGCGCCGTGTGAGGTGCGGCGGGGTTCAGTGGGCGCGGAGGTGAAGGAGTACGGGTCTGAGGGAGGAGATGGAATGAAACTGAGGCGTTTATTTAGGTACAGTGTTTAGATGGGAGGAAGGAGGGGAAGACTGAAAAAAAATCCAGGCATTCCTTAAAATGACCAGCTCCTTAAAATTGTCCAGCAGTGACTACTTTCAACCCTTATTGATCAGTTTACACCAGATTTCAATGAAGAGCTCCAGCACTTTTTAAATGAAATGAACATTTATCACAAAACTTCTGAGGAGCTACAAAAGTTTAGGAAGACTCCATTAAAAAAAAAAGTTAAATTATATGTGCAATTAATGTGTGATAATAGGAACACCTTATTCCTCCTCCAGGATAAGTAATAGTTTTTACTACTTTTTTCTGGTAGCTGGGAAGTGGAAGAGGCGCTAGGTGGTTCATGGCCCTGAGGCTTTTCCACATTGCCAGTTGGATGTTTTTCACCTTAGTACTTACATCACTTATGATTAGTAGGCAGCTTTTAATCAATTTTTTGCAATTGGTGGGTTTTACCCTGAACCCCTTATTAGTGAGCATGGAGTCAGTGGTGCAGGTGCAGTCGGGCACCTCCAACATTTCACTTCAGGTCTTGATGTTGAAGTCCCAAAGTCCGGGGCTTCCAAAATTTGCCAAGTTTGGTCCAGTTTGTAGACAGCGATGTTTGTAGGGGTGTGTCGGTGAGCTACGGTTCCAGCCTCTCTGGAATTTTGGCCTCTGCAGAGCTCTACCCCTCAAGCAGTGGTTCTGTCCCAGTCATCATTCCCCAGAGGTCATACGTTGGACCCAAGTTAAATTAAAGTCTTAACAGGGCTCAATAACTTTATTCTGGAGAGAATAAGACTGAGAGACAATTCTGCTTAAAATTCACAGCAGGACCTTACATACCACCACTTCAGGACCTCCATAGAAGCAGAAAATGTTTTTAGATACAATTTATACCTTCCAGGAGTCCACACTGAAGTCATGAATCTGAGCATATCCTGGAGTTGAATACTCTCCTAATTAGATGGACTGAGAACCTCGTTTAAGATAATCAATATACTCAGAAGAGCAAGCAGAACCTGTCGTTCTGGAAAGCTACACACAGCTCTAGCGAAATTCTGTCTAATATAGCGTCTGATACAAACACAATGAAAAGGAAAATATTACTTATCATTTACACTCCACCTGTAAGGGGAAGAACAGGTTTCAGATAGGCGGAAAGAAGTCAAGGGGAATTTACCCACACAATAACAGGGTATGGTAGATTGAATTATTATTCTAAATTCTTCCCTTCTGCACACGACTGTGCAGAACCCCCTGGTATGGTAGAGGAGGTAGAGCATTCATCTTTGCCTCCTTGACTCTGGGCTTGGTCATGTGACTTTGACCAATGGAACGATGTCAGGTATGAAGCTAGAAGGGGTTTTAGATGTGCTTTCATGCTTTTGCCTCTTGGACTTGGCTATTTTTCCTAAGAAAAACTGCCTCAGGTGGTTGCTGTTTCCAAAATGATGAAGACATGTGGATCATATCAGTCTGAATCTCAGTTGTGACGTAGAGTCCTGCTTATCCTGGTCAAACCCAAGGAAGGCAAGTGAAGACCAGCTATTCAGGAGACTACAGCCCTATGAGCAAGAAAAATATTAAAATATTTTTGCTCTAAGCTGTGAGATTTTTGTAGTATTGGAGCAATGGCTGACTGGCAAACCAAAAGAATAGATTGGGCAGAATTTCATGTTAAATATGAGCAAGAGAAAAAAAATCATTGAGAATTATACAGACTACTACTGAAAAAGGAAGGAAGGAAAAAGGGAAAGGGAGGAAGGAAGGTAGCATCAAAAGATGGATGAAGTACATGACCTGGATAAAACCTCCTAGGGGGGAAAAGAGGAAATTCATCACATACATACTCTTTGTGCTTTAGAGGAACTTAAGAATATGAATTCAGTAATACAGGGACTTAAAGATGCTAGCAGTGTATTGAGAAGCAAGCTCTATGAGGGCTGAGTCTTGCCTGTTGTGTTCACTACTATATCCATACAATAAATATTTGATGAATGAACTAACATGGAGATAAAAGAGCACTGGAAATTAACCGAAGGCCAAAACACCTTGAAGAACTAGTGAATAATTAGAAGCATGAAGAAGCAGACTAGAGAGCTGAAATTCAAATTACTGATGTAGAGGAAAGGCTTAGAAAATCAAAGAGAATACTGAAGGCAAAGACAGAGGTACTAAATCTCTTAGAAGACAGTGTATATGTAAGAGACAGATACAGTTCACCTCAAGATTAAAAAGTGCCCCTGAAATAAAGAACACAGCAAACGGAAGAAGAGATGTCCTTACTGATATAAAAATTATAGTAAAGGAAGAAAAATCTGTAGTTTAAAAATACACTGTATTCCATGGAAAAATTTCTACAGAACAGTCAACACTAAGGTACATATCTTGGCTGTTACTCAGTTTTCAGAATAAAGAAAGAATTTTTAGGTATCCAGGCAAGAAATGAGGGGGGGTGTTAATGGAGAAAAAATAATTAGGCTTCTTTAGACTCATCTATAGCACTTAAGTACTGGAAGATATGGAAAAAATGTTACAAGGACCTGAGGGACAATAGAATGTGTTCCAAGAAAATGATACTTCTGTAGCTTTTCAAGTCATTAAAATATCATTTGAATTTCTGGGTACTCGATCCGTTTTTATTCCTGCTTGCACACTGCATTTCTGAGCCTATCTCTTTTAAGGAACTATAGAAATGATCCCTGAAAGAATAGCCTTCTGAGCCTATCTCTTTTACATATTACTGGACAAACACAGCAACATCAACTAAAATGTTATTAACATTCTTCCAACCTCTTCGCCTAACATTAAAGTTCATTAATCATCTGCCTTCTAAGTTATCACAGAGTTCTCCAAAGGTTTTTCGAATAGGCTTGCCATTGAACAACGTAGATACCTAACGATCCTTTGAGCTTCCAAGAACAATTGTCACTTACTGCTCAACCAGTGAGTGCTCTAATGACTTATATTTTAGGTTTTTATGGCAGTAAGTCTGGACCTAAGTCTGTATAAATCAGGATAAATTTTGTTACACTGTGGTACCAACCAACCCCCAAATCATTTCACCCAGCAACAGAATACATATTCTTTTCAAGTGTACATGGAACATTTACCAGAATAGAGTGTATTCTGAGCAAAAACAAGTGTCAGTACATTTGAAATAATTAAAACCATTCAAAAATGTTCTCTGACAACAATGGAATCTAAGAAATCAGTAACAGAGAAATAACTAGAATATTCCTAAGTATTCGAAAACAAAATAACGTAGTTCTAAATAACCCATAGGTAAAAGAAGGAACCAAAAGGGAAAATTTTAACTGAAGGAAATGACAATACAAAATTTCTGGAATGAAGGTAAAGTAGTGCTTTGATGAACATTTATAAAATTAAATGCTTAGGTTAAGTAGGTCTCAAATCAATGACCTAAGCTTCCATTTTAAGACATAAGCACATTAAGCAGAAAAACGTAAATACTAAAGATTAGAGTGGAAATCAAATAACTAGAAAATGGAAAATAGAGAAAAATCAGTGCAACCTACAAATGTTTCCTGAGAGATTAAAATTCTTTTGTGGGCTTCCTTGCTCATAAGATAAAGTCTAAAATCTTTAACTTGGATTTATGTTCCAGCATGGTTTAGTTTCTACTTATCTCTCACCTGATTTCTTCATTAATTTTCTCGGTTGTTCCTTCAGATCTTTTGTCCTCTCTACTGGTAGATGACTTTTGCACACGCTGTTTCCTTTGTTTGCCCCCTCCCCAACTGTCTCAATGTCTTTTCTTCCCACCCATTTCCATCTAGTTGATGCCTACTTGTCCTTTAGATTTAGATTTGATATCCTAGCCTAGCACATCTCCTGCCCTAACCTGTAAATTCCACTAGGATGGACACTGTGTGTGTTTTCATCAATATTTTATTTTCAGCACTAAACACATGCCTGGCTGGTGGATTCTCAATAATTAGTAGTTGTATGAGCGAATGGATCTGTTTTGTTAGGATATGACCAGTTCAAACACCACTCCTCTGCATCTCATGAATCAGTATCCTGAGGATTGAAAGATCATTATTCTTGAGCTTATGAAAATTAAGGAGAGTATTTAGAGAGTTCACCGTCGCTGCCACCCCTCCCAATCATTTATATTTCATTTATTCATTTCTCTGTGAAGATCTGCTGTAGAGTCAAGTTCATTTTTGTCTTCTGGAACATTTCATGATTAAGGCTTTGTCATGTTTGATTTGTTTCATGGTATCACCTATACTAAAAAAAGAAACTTGGTACAACTTGTACCAAATAAACTAGTAAAAAAAATAAATTAGAGGAATAAAAGAATATTCCACATGAGAGACTTTACTCTGTAGTTTGAAAATATATGGATCCCTAAAAAGTGAAATCATGCCTCAACACTTTAATTTCAGGAACTATGAAAAAAGATGAGAACATGCTGATTTAATTTTTGTTTCCCAGATATTTATTACACATTAGATTTTTTAATTCCTCAAAACAATTCTATAGAAGGAATTATTATTCTTTTGCAGACAAACTTTTAGTGATTTGCTTAAAGTCTCAGTTAACATGGTCCTAAAATTCAAACCGAATTCTAATGCCAAAACCCATTATTTTCTCATGCCACCTTCACTAAAAATGGTAAACTATTAAAATTTCTTCCCATCTGAAGGATCAGATATCTAGGGCCTAATGACCTAACAATGTCCAGCAATTATTTCAATTTGTCTGACTGTGACACAATCAGTTAAATGGTTTCTCTAAGCGAAAATTGTGATCATCTATTCACTGATAGCACCCTAGTAAGAAAAAGAAGTTAGCGGTAAGGTTTTTTCAATCTAACATCAACTAAATTATGTAAAATGCCAATTTCCTATAACATAATCATATAAAAACAGAGCAGTGGGAAGTTAACATAAAATGTAGGTAGTAACAAAGATTTTCATTAAATGCAAAAATGCTTACTAACATTTAATAGTTCAGTTACCAGCTATGAAAATTGAAAAAAAAGGTTAACTGAAGAGTAAATTTCTGTCTTAAGGGTTAAACCTAAGTATTACACTCAGTAAGATTACTGTTGACATAGAAATTAGGAAAGGGAAGTCCAGAAGGTACATTTCAGCTTGTTGCTGGAGCTATGAATTGAGACACTTTATTCTTTAGCAGGTAGAAAACTATGTGAAAGAATCTTTGATGTCATAATTTGTGGGTGTCGCTGGGACAGTTTATCATCATTCCTTTGGCGAAGATGTTATGAACAGAGAACTTCAGGGTCCAGGGGACAGAATAGAGAGGACAGTACAAGATGCATTCTTCCTTTCTCAGCTGTCACTGTTGCGGTCGTTTGGGAATTTCAAGGCTCTTTTGAGGAAGCAGGAAAGAAGAGCTAGTCCAGGCGTTAGAGAGCTGTGAAGAACCATCCACGGAGAGCTACAGAGGAACCTGTAAAGGTGTAGTTTGAGGCCACTGCAGTGGGGTGAGGATATTGTAGGTTGGGTTTATAATTTGTTACTAGTTAAGGGAAAGTCTGGAAGATAAAGGTAGGATGTAAAGTGAGAGAAGCTCATGAGATTTTGTGCAGATTGATTAGACTGTAGGTCTAAAATAGGTACAGGTAAATCTATTCACAGGTTAAAATATATATTGTTAGAAACTAAACAAGGCAGTAACAACAAGAATAAACCTTGAAACAAACTTTAGAGACAATTTTCAGCTGTTTCAGACTGCTGCTGGAGCTATGAGTTGTGACATTTTATTATTTAACAGGTAGGAAACTATGTAAAAGAATCTTCTGATGTCATAATTTCTGGGTGTCACTGGGACATTTGGTCATCATTGCTTTGGCGACTTCAGGCTTTTGTGGACGGTCAGTAGGAGCGATCAGTTTACTCACCTCTCAGGAATCAGACTCGGCCTATTTTGGTAAGTCTCTGTGTCCTTGATCAAGTTAGCTAAAACTTAATATCTACATAAGATAGTTGTGCTAAACCATAGATTTTACTAACTTGTCATTGAGCATAACAGTTTTTTCCTTGGCAATTGATACACAGTCTGTAAAAACCATTATATAAGAATCAAATTCCTAAACTTTATTAATTTAGTTTTATTATTACAGACAATAAACATTTACTTGTTAGGCATAGAATACTGAACTAGGTATAAGAAACAGTGGTAAGACATTTTTCACCTTTCCCGTCTTTTGTTGAAGACATGCAGATTTGTACAAGATAGAGTTAATTACCCACTGTGTGCCAGGCACTGTTCTAGGTATTAAGGAGTCAGTTAGTGGTGAAAAAGACAGACAGGGAATGGGATGGAGTTACAATGATGAAACAAAAACACAAAAAGTTAGGGTACTGGTTCTTCACTGATTCCTTCTCCACCAGAGGACATTTGGCAAGGTCTGAAAACATTTTTGAATGTCATAAGTTTTAGAGAGGGCTGCTATTGGCATGTAGTGGGTGGAGGCCTTAGATGCTGCCAAATATTCTGCAATGTCCAGGACAATCCCCTTCCTCCCCAACAAAAATTATCTGGCCCCAAAGTCAATAGTGTCACAGTTGAGATATGATGAATTAGAGTGATGATAACTGTTACAAAGCAGAAATAAAGAGTGCTATGAAAACTTATATTATGGGTAGGGGTTATAGAAGGCTCCTCTGAGAAAGTGAAATATAAATTCAGACTTAATGAATGATGCAGGTGGCTCTAGCAAGTAAAGGGTGTTAGTGGGGTGGGGAAGAGTTTTAGAACTCAGAGGCAACAGCAGGCAGTAAGGAGTTTATTTTATGTAGCTCTCTGTGTGTATATGCGTGTTTGTGTATGTGTGTTTTACATGTACAATACACTCTATGTATATATACTTATAATGCTCAGTAGCATCTGCTGAATAGTAATTGTTAACATTTATTGAGCACTAGCTATGTGTTAGGTACCACACTTTATATGTACTATCTTATTTAATCTTATTCTGGAAGTAGATTCTATTATTATTCCCAGTTTATTCTTGGGAAGCATATTTGGTTAAGTACCCTGCCTAAGATCACATAGTCAATCCAACTCTCCCAAGACACTTTCTTAATAATGCACTGTAAATGTAGAGAGGCTGGTGGGAATGAATGATAACTAGGAACAGAAGGGTTAGCTAAAGATACCATGGTGATGTGAAACTCAGCTGTACTTCAAAAGCAGACAGGGACTTAGCCATGCAATAGAAAATAGGAGTAGGGGCTCAAGCTTGTTGGTCGCAATACCCATAAAGGCAAACTGAATAATTTTTTTTACACAGCAGAAATGGACTTCAGTTATGTTAACCATAGGACATCGTTTACCTTTGACACCTTGTGACTGTTCTGTATTTGTTGCAAAACTTAACATTTTATGTAAGGAGGAATTGTATAATATAGTATTTATATACTTTTGTAGATATTTTTAAATCTCATTTTCAGAATGTTGGAATATGCCTAACAAAATAGTAACATTAAAAATTCCAAACAACTATTTGAAGACAATTCGCCTGCTCTATCCATTATTATAACTTTCTAATCTAGGTTTTCAGTGAATTATGCCTTTGCGGTTTGGAACCCAGCCACGGAGGTTTCCAGTGGAAGGAGGAGATTCTACAATTGGGCTGGAACCTGGACTGAGCTCCGGTGCTGCCTGTAACGGGAAAGAGATATCACCAACTAGGTAAAGTCTTCTCATGCTGACAACTGAAACAATGTGTAATGACTGTCATCCATACAAGCCTTAGCTGATGCTCAATATTAGCAAGAAAAAAGGCCAGGAACATTGTTGTTATTAAATTGGTATTAAGAGATCTCAGGTTTTCTTAGCATAGAGTCTGTATATTTTATACCTCTGTAAGTCTTAATGATAGGCCAATTCTTCTTCTTTTTAATAAATTTTTAGGGTTTTTTGTTGTTGATAGTTTCAAGATTAGATAACTTTCAATTAAGCAAACCTTTAGTGCTGTTATATGCAGGGCACTGTTCTGTTGGCAAAAGACTAAAAATATGAAGACTCAGACTTCAGATTTAGTAGAGCTTTGACTTTGGCAGAGGGTGATGTAGAGTATAAAGTTTCTATAAAACAAAATCATTTTTGCAAAATTGAAGAAAACTATAATAGAATTTGTCCATTTTTCTGTTGTTTACCATAGCAAAACATCAGATACTAACTGCATTGTTAGGTTCCTCATGGCTTGGAAATTTTTAGAACACACATTTAAGCTTAATGAGGTAGGTAGATACTTTAAAAATCAGAATTATTCAAGGATATAGGCTACTTTGGGAAGTACTGAGCACTTGTCTTTAGAAATGTTAAAGGTTGGTTAATTATTTGGTGGGAATGTTGGAAAGGAAATTCAAGCACTAGATGTTTTTTTGGACTAGGTGTCATTTTTAAGGGTTCTTTTAAATCTGAGATTCTATTAACATTTGAACAGTATATGGAATAGTACGTTCAGTTTTATATTTTTCCACAAATATTCTAGTTTTTAAATAGACTCAACTGAAGTGATTTTAAGGTGTATATATGTGTGAATTGTCTTAGTATTATCACTTACGTTTACAATTATGCACCCCTGCTTTTTTTGTCCTTTAGCAATCATGGTATACCTTTCAAAATGAACACTTGGAGGGTTATCTTTGTATTTATGAGTTTCCTGTGATTAAATGTATGGCAATAACTACAACTTCTTTGCAACATAAGTCTAAAATATATGCCTCATGAGTGTGACCGTGTTATAATTACTTTGTGACATTCAAAGATGTCAAAATTATTTAAAACAATTGAACATGCACTCAAACTGGTGCTCTGAAAAAGTTTCCTTTTTAGTATCTAACTGCATGTTGTTTGCTCTTTTATTCAGGCAACTCCGAAGATGCCATGGAAGTCATTGCCTGACAATAACTGATGTTCCCATCAATGTCTATGCAACAATGAGAAAGCTACCTGCACAAAGCAGCAAGGAAATGCATCCTAAATAACATCATCGAGCCTTTTGTAGAGGCTGACTAGGTCAAGGGTCATGGAGCAGTAGGGTCTTATGATCTGGTAAACAAATAAAAGTGGTGGCACCTTTGGATGATGACAACAGTTGACATATTTACTTTTAGTAAGAAAAGACAGAAATGTAGTCTGTAAAACATGTGAATTAATAAGCCATCAATTATTTTGATAGATAAGACAGAATAATATTTCACAATTAGAAAGTACTTTAAGAGATCATCTTGCACAGAATGGATCATTGATAATAATTCAGGATGCTTATTCCACCTTGATTGTCAATCAGGAAGGGCCCATTATTCTAAATGCTTAATGTGTTTTAGGCGTTTCCCTTGTTTATTTTTGAGTTGCTATGTAGCTGAATCTTTTCACTTGAATACCCTAAGCCAGTTTCTGGCTTGTGTTTTTTGGAAGAATACTCAAGACCAAAGAAAGTTCTTAATCCATGGTTAAGCTGCAAAGCATATAAAGTGCTTTCATATGGGAGCTCACGTTATTGGTTAAATTCATTATAATAGGTGAAGGCCATGGTTCTAACCCCATTTTTTCAGAAAAAATGATAGCCCATAATCACACTGTACCTCAAGTCTCAGCCAGTCATCTTGAAATTGTCTACAGTTGGTATTGAGAAACTTCAGGTGGATCTTTTTGTTTGATTCGACTTAAGGATCAGTTTTGAGGTCTAGGCCAGCTCTCCATGTTTGTTTTTTTTTTCTTCTTGTAATAGTCCCAAGAAACTCAGCCTGATTTCTTTTCCTCTTGATGTTTGCCACCATCCATCCTGTGAAATTGTCTTCTACAAAAGACTTTAGCATCAGGTACAGTTCCTCTAGTTTCTTGTCTACCTTGCTGCTCCTGAAGATATACATATAAGGCTTTTAAAATGAAAAGTTTATTAGTTTATAATTATATGGATTTAGATGCATATGCATGTACTACATGAGGTGAAGAAGAAAAACTTTCAGGGATTTATAAATGGAGAAATTCTGAGAGTTTTTTATATTATATAATAATAAAAATATGTAATAATATATGTATAAACTAGGAAAATCCACAGTGTTGGGAGGTGGTTTTGAATTCCAGTCAGCCAGAGTGGAAAAACCTTATTAGACATGTTGGTCATTGAGTAGAGAGACTTCGGAAAAGTCATACCTTAGAAGGAAATCTAAACTAGCACTAGGCTAAAAGCTAATGTATACCAACTTTAACAAAGCTTAAAAATGAAATTTGAGAGAACCAAGGTGATTCTAAGTAACTCAATTGTCTGCCAAATAAAATTTATTACTCCTTAAGGAAGAGGACAAATCCAGAGAAGAAACTGCCCAGGGTGGGGGAAAGAGAACAGGACAGGAGAAAGGAGTGATGAAAAATTTCTCAGAGCTCACACAAGACTGGGAATAATTTATGTTTAGGCCATAGTGGAGAGATCTTTTAATACATGGAGCACTGAGTAGAGTTCTCAGCAAGATATTTCAGTGGGCGTAGCTGTGGGGTTTGGGGATAGGAATAGCTTTAGGCTGAAGGCAGCTCTGTACCTGTGCTAACAAATCTTAAGAGCAAAACTTGAAAGGATCAAACTGTTTCCAAGTAACTGAACTGCATCCAAAGAGGGGGAAAAAACACCCTCAAAATGTAAAGAACTACAGTAAAATCCAACACCAAAAGTGTAAAATTCACAATGATCAGCATCAATAAAAAATTACCATGTATGGAATAAAAGAAGGCATATACAACCTAAAGTCAAGAGAATCAGTCAGTAGAATCAGATTCAGAATGAAGATGATAGCATTGACAGACAAGCTACCACAAATATTCCAGCAGTAGATAAAGGCATAATTATGATGAGAGAAATGGAAGGTATAAAAAGGACCCATGTCGAACTTCTAGAGATGAAAAATATAATATCAGAAATGAAAATGTAAACCAAATGTGATTAAAAACAGATTAGATACTGGAGAAGAAAAGATTAATGAACTTGAAGACATAATTATGCAAATTATCCAAAATAAAATATAACATAAAAGGGCTGAAAAAAAGCATAAATTTTATATTTCAATATGAAGTGGTCTACCATATACAGGGTGGGACAAAAGTAGGTTTACAGTTGCTTATATGGAAAATAATACAGTAATAAATAAATGATAATACAAGAATAAACTGTGTTTTGCATACTCACAACTGTAAACCTACTTTTGCCCCATCCTGTATGTAAGTGGCTTCCCAGAAGGAGGAGAGAGGAAGACAAAAAATATTTGAAGAAATAAAGGCTGAATTTTTTCATATTTGATGAAAACTACAAACTCACAGATCTAAGTAGTTTAACCAACCCCAAGGAGAAGAAACATGAAGAAAACAAAGACCATATAATTAAATGATCTGAAAACCAGTGATAAAGAGACAGTCTTAAAACCAGACAGATAAAAATGACACATTCATTCAGAGGAACAAAAATAAGAATGAGAGGACACTTTTCATCAGAAAACATGTAAGCAAAAGGGCAATAGAACAATATCTTTAAAAGTACCAAATACTGTGAAGGCAAGACTTTTCATTAAAAAAAACAAACAAACAGCTGGAATATCTATATTAATAATAGACAAGAAGATTTTAGACCAAGGAATATTACCAAGGATAGAGAGAGGCATTTCATAATGAAAAAGGGGTCATAACTCCATATTTACAGTTGGAGATTGCAACATCTTTCAACAACTCTTAGAAGAATAACAGTAGAACAGAATACTGTACATTCTATTCCAACAGACATGGAAAATTTACCAAGAATAGACCATATGTAGGGAACAAAAGTCTCAATGAGTTGAAAAGCAGGCAAAGTATGCAGACTATGAAAAGCATGTTTCATAACAAATTAGAAATCAATAACAGAAAAATATCTGGAGAACCTCCAAATATTGGGATACCAAATGACACACTTCCAAATAACCCATGAATAAAAGAAGAAATGACAGAAGAAATTAGAAAATATTTTGAACTGAGTGATAATGCAAACACAACATATCAAAATGCATGGGGTACAGTTTCTAGTAGTGCTTAGAAAGCAAATTTTTTCATTAGAAAAGGAGAAACATCTCAAGTCAATGATCTAAGCTTTTACCTTAAGAAAGCAGGAATGATGGACAAACTGAACCCAAAATAAGAAGAGAGAAAGAAGACCAGAAACCGATGAAATAAACGACAGATAAATAGTAGAGAAAATCAATTAAACCAAAAGCTGATTCTTCACAAAGATCAATAAAATTACAAACCTCTAGACAGAACTTTCAGGAAAAAAAGATACAAATTACATCAGGAATGAGAGTAGGGACATTACTACAGATTATAAAGACATTAAAAGGATAAACAATTTTTTTACAAGGTTGAATTCTTTAGTCTTCTAAAGCGTCTGCCTTGAATAAATGTTTTCCCACATTCCTTACGTTCCTAGATATGATCTTTCTGTAAGGGACTATTATAAACAGGTCTTAGGGTAACCCTGTGGCATCATTCTTTTATAACCTTCCTCCAGATTGACATCAGCTCATTAATCAGCTGTCTTAGGACATGATCATTTGAAAACATGTTCTGTTTTCACTATGTCTGGCTGGGCTGGAGAGGGATTCGGTGCTGAGCAGCCCCCATCACTACACTTTAGAAATTTCTTGAGGGAATCTGACTGGTGTTATCATGCTACATTTCTCTTATGAGTGTGCCTCTGTCCCATGCTCTGACAGATCATATATGGCTTTCATCTTTCAACCTCAGCTAGCCTCTGCCCTCTCCATCCTGTGCCCTAGAAGTGTGGTCTGGGGATGTGTTCTCTGGTGTGACATTTATAAACTAAGTGGCTTTGTCCATTCGATGGTGACCAACCGTCTTCCCTACTTTTCGGGACCTCTCGGGACTTTAAAGATTACCAAGGACTTGAGAGAGCTCTTCTGTATTGATGATGGGTTACACCATTTCTCCCCTCACCTAGTCCCCACAACCTCAGGCAAATCAGAGATCCCTGGGACTCAGGGGAACCCAACTGGAGAAGTCAATATTAATTTTTCTTTCCCTCAGACTCCCAGACACTTTACAAGTGATTGCCTTAGGAGGTGAGGCGAAGGGGTAACTTTTACAAAAACACTTTCCTGAAATTCACTCAACAAATATTTATTGAGCATATACCTGCATGTCAGGCACCATTCTAGGCTCTTACAACACATCAGTGCATAACACAGACAAAATTTGTGGAGCGTACATTCTGGACAGTTCCTCCTCTGTTACCTTTCTAGTCTCTTTATATAGACTGTTGTGCTTTGTGTGTGTGTGTGTGTGTGTGTGCGCGCGCGCGCGCATGTGTGGTGTGTTGGTGGCATTGTGATGTTACATTGCTGGTTGTGCTGATATAGCTTCTCTGAGTCAATCCTAATAGAGAAGGGATTGGGTCCAAACCTCAGTTTGGTGAACTTAAAATGTGGTATATTTGTTTTATGGTCCCAGCTATAGGCTGTAGTCACCAATGTATGGAAAGAGGAAAGACTGCTAGACACCCTGTACCACCATGTTACATATAAGGATATGGAGGCCCAGAGAACAAATATATCCCAGTATCTTCTGACATGTGCTCCCCTCCCTTACCCCTAAAAACTTTGGGCTGAGAACTGAGGTGGCTTGTACTAGATAAAGGGAAGTGTTGATATATTCTCCTAGGTCTACAGAATGGAAAATGCTAAGATTTTTTTCTCTTTTTTTAACATGTGTGTCTATACATGCATGTAGTAAGCACCTAAAACCATACTTTCATATAGTTTCATTTTGGCTTTAGCTTTTACTGCTAAGTGCTTGATTCTTTCCATGTTTCCCAATTCAAACTTTCGAGAGAAAATATTCATTTTTTCATACTACCAAATAATGGGGGTGTTGCTTCACTGGGAATCTATAGATCAGTTCCCTCAACCAATCAGCTGTGGCCATGAGAGGAGGAGGTGGGACCTGGCCCAAATAGCGCTGTTCCTTCATACTGGGGCTATGGGAGGCCCCTTCCATTTTGAAGGGGGCTCTAAACTGGCAGGGACCATGAAAACAACTGGTCGAAATTACCAGGAG